CCTACAAATAGGAAACACTATTCCTATTTTATTGGATTGCAATTCCGATATAGTGCGAATCACGATTCGATGACTTGAATTGTACGGACAACGATTCCAAGATTAAGAATCATCTGATACACGCAATTCTGCGATTCTGATTCCTAAAATGATTCGAAATCACAAGCACTTACAACAACTATAGGTTGCCCTTAATTTCGTGACCATTTGAGGAGGTCGAAAAAAAATTGATCTGTTTACAAATCTTCAAAATCTTGTTTCTTCAAGTTTTTTCTCACTCTAAACTTCACTAACTGTGTTTTTGGGAGCATGAATGGCCCCCAAAACCCTTTTCTCTCCCTTTTAAGGGAGTAAAATGACGATTTTAGACATTGCCCTAGTTTTTATTTTCGGCCATTGGGCGAGGCAGCACCTAGGCACCAACCTTTTATGCCGCCTAGGCGGGTGCCTTATGACAATGTTGAAGTTATGATGGCTAATAGAAAGAAGCTAGCTTGTAGAATTAGGTGTAAAAATGAATATGTACCATGTGGGATTATCATTGTGACCTTATTTTGCATGGTTTGCCTTTGAGAGGGAATGACATGGTTTTAGGAGCTCAATAACTTAGAACATTGGGATTGATTTTTATGGGATTTTTTGTTTATGGATGCAGCTCACAGTCTGCAAACATCAATAAAAGTGAAGCGGCTGCAGGACAGCCCAGTGAAGATCATTTGATTTGCATCACATGGTACGAATCACTAGGAATAGTGCCGCAAATTTTCTCCTTAACAACGGCGTGGAAAATCCAGAAAATCATGTGGCCTCGTCGTTTTTAGAACAATATGACTAATGTGTTTGAGTAAGGGATAACCACCTCACCATTACCTCATGACCATGACATTCCACATACCATAGGAAGTCGGCCACCAAATATTAGAGCTTATCATTACATGCATGTGCAAAATACAGAAATAGAGAAGCATGCTCAAGAAATGAAGGAAGCAGATATTATTCTAGGCTCCGAGTATCAATCCTTACTCCAGGCCTAACCCTGTAACACATAAATAAGGATGATTCACAGAGAATGTGAAGATTACAGGGCCTCCAATAATACTCCAGTTAAGAACAAATTCCATGTACTTTAATCAATGAGCTGCTTTACGAGTTGCAAGGGGCAATATATTCCTCTAAACTTGATCTAGGATTGGGATATCACAACATTCAAGTAAAGGAAGAATATGTTCCAAACCATGAGGGCCACTATAAGTTTTTTATGATGCCCTTTGGCCTCACCAATGTACCATCAACCTTTCAAAGCTGGATGAATGAGGCATTTCAAACCTAACTTAGACAAGTTATTCTAGTGCTTTTCGATGATAGCTTAATTTATAGCCAGACTTGGGGAAACCATTTGGACCACTTCACCAATGCATTGCGGATACTATGCAAACATTGCCTTATTTAAAACATACTAAGTGTTCATTTGGAAGGCAAGAAGCAAAATACTTTGGTCATATTATTGGGGGTAGAAGGTGTCAACGCTGACCCTTAAACTATGAAAGGCATAGTAAATTAGCCTACTCCTAAAACATTAAAAACCCCAAGTGGGTCAAACCAACTAGTTATTATAAAAAATTTGCGAGGGATTATGACAAAATCAGCTGACTTCTCACTACCTTGCTAAAAAGGAATTCCTCCCCTTGGGATTCTAAAGCCATGATTGCTTTTGATGCCATGAAGAACACAGTGAGATTTACACATGTGCTAGACCTACTTGATTTCTCTAAGAATGTCATTATAAAGACTAATGTCTAAGGGACCGGAATAGGTGTTGTGCATATGCAGGAAGCGTGACCCATAGCATCTCTCTAGTGAAAATTTGGCATTGACATGTGAGAAGGAAATGTTAACAATTATTGGCGCAATAAGTAAATGGAGGTTGTACTTGGTGGAACGACTTTATTATCTGCAAGAATCATCATATTCTCAAATACTATGTTAAGCAGAGAGTTTCAACCCTTGGTCACCAAACTCATGGGTTATGACTACAATTTGTCTAATCAAAAGGGTAAGGAGGATGTAGTTGCATATGCCCTTTCCCGTCTCCATGAGGAACCCCCTACCTTCAATGGTATATATCTACCTCAGCCTAAGTGGATGAATATCATCAGACATCAAACAATGGTATCGGAAGGATGAATCTACAAAAGAGGATCTTATAAAAGAAATTCAGGAGGATCATATGGTGAAGCCAAACACAATCTGCAAGGAGGGTTTTGCGATGCAAAGGTCGTACAGTATTGGCACCGACTTCATCTTGGAAATATTAGATCATCATCATCAGAGCCTTGTTCCAATCATTTGGGGTAGGTTACACGAATCCTGGTCCGTCATTCTGGTCTATCAAGGGCCATACGCTCACTGAGGCCCTAAGTCCCCATATCTATGCCCTAACATAAGCAGATAGTGTAAATTCATGATTCATAGAAAGTTTTGATAAAGTTTTACATTGACTGCCAGCCCAACACAACCCACCTCCTTAACCCGGGCGTGGGACGGGTTAAGGGAAAGTTTAAGGTCCTCACCCTTCTTCGACCAATCTTGGAAACATTAGATACTAAAAGATTTATGAGACATCGATCACTTTGCAGTCATCTTTCCTCATAACACGAAAGCGATTGGCCAGGTCATTTTATTAGAAGGGGATGAAGCATGCTACTAAATAGTTTCTTGTGGAGTGCGAAATTTGCCAAAGACATGAGAAGAAAAAAACATGTTATTCAGGATTCTTGCTGCCCCTCCTTGTACCTAATCAACCATAGTTGATAGACTGACATTTAAATGGACTTCATTAAGGGGTACCAACTCTTATGAAAAGTTTGTTACATTAGTGGTGGCTGACTGGTTGAAAGAACACTCACTTTTGTACTATGTCTTACTCATTTAATGTTGTTGTGGTTGCTCAAGTTTTAATATATTTAAGCTACATGGAATGCCAAGCTCTACCACGAGTGATCGTGATTCTATCTTCACAAGTAATTTTTGTGGGAGCTATTGAAGTTGCAGGGTACCCAGTTGACAATGAGTTCAGCCTACCAACCCTAAATAGACAGACAAATTCAAATGGTCAACAAATGTTTAGAGACTTAATAATGGTGTTTTGCATCAATCCAATTAAATATTGGGTTCACTAGCTTTCATTGCCTAATTGGTGGCAGTGGCACAATACCACCCACAACATTTCCATCGAAAATGACACTATACGAAGCTCTTTACGGGCAACCACATCCATCTATCACTACTTACAGCCTTGGGGCTGCAAATATTTTATCCATAAATTAAAGACTACAAAGCCAAAAGTATATCTTAAAATTTTGAGGGAAAATCTAAATTTTCTACAGCAATGTAAGAAACCTTAGGCAAATCGAAAGCTCAGTAAAAGAGCGTTTTGGTGATATGGCTCTCCCACAACTACAATCTTATTGCAAAACCTTTCTGGTGGTTCATGGGCCCAAGAAACTTGAGCCTATATTTTATGGCCATAAAGGTTATTGAACGCATTGGACATGTTGCTTTACAAGTTAGAGCTACCAAAATCATCACAGGTCCACCCTATATTTCATGCATTGAGCTTAAAGAAAATAGTGGGGGTCAAAAAGCACAGTCCAAAATGAGCTTCCTCAAAACTCAAAAGGGAGTATAGGAGTTGGAATTTGAAGCCATCTTAAATCGTTGTATGCAAAATTTGAAATCGTGCCATTATTGAGGTGTTGGTCCTCTGGAAGGTTATGGAACCTGAGGATGTTACATGAGCACGATCCCACAGATTCACCATGCACTTTGCTCATTTTCAACCTTGCAGACAAGGATTTTCAAGGGAAGGTGGCACCTAACCATGTCAAATTTGAACGGGGTTGAGGCATGTAGAAAGATATTCAATTAGATGAAGGCATTTACAAAAGAATGTGCGCTAATTCAAGAATACAAGCAGAAGGTATGATTAATTATAGAAAGGCGTCTTCGGCAGTTGATAGAGCAGAGAAAAATTTGATCTTGAGTCTTAAAATGAGTTATGCCCCTCAAAGTAGTCATTTATCTAGTGAGTTCTTTCTTCATTTTCTAGCTTTTCATTACTTATTAATCATTTCCAACTTATTTCTCTTTATATTTGTAATCCTTAATTGGGGTCCTTCCAGGTAGATCCACATTAGAATTCATGCAATTGTAGCATCTAAACCATGCTAAAACAAAAAATGCTGTACATCAACAGTAACAATCATTATCACAAAAAGACAATAAGACAAGCCAATCCCTGATATTTGACTAGTTGTTTGGGGAATGTCAGTTTTAAGGGAGGAGCTGACCAATTTTGGGCGAAGTTCCCTAGATGCTAAAGGGTTTATTGTATTTTCTGTAATTTAAAGCTCATTTCTTGGAACACTAAAGAAGCAAGAGACCATATGGAGATCTAAACAGCAAGCTGTAATCCACAACAGCAGAATGGATGATTTGGCCATAAGCCTTGATGAATGAGATCAGATTCTTTTACCATTTGGTCTGCTATACTCTTTGGAATGTGAACAAGAGCGTGATTTTCCTTTTGAAATTCCAGAATTCCTTTCGACGTCACAAAGCACATTGAAGTCATTCACCTGCTATATGAACGATTTGTCTCGTAAAAATTCACAGTTTTTAAGTGGTCACTGGTTTACATGAAAGGGCAATCCAAAACGAGATTAAATCCGCTCATGTAACCTGTTCAAATCAATTTGCAGGCATTAAAACCAAACCTCAGTCTATAAATCTTCACTCCAATCCACAAAATGCAGATTATCTTCATTCAATAAAACTCAACACAAAATACAGCAAAAAGGAGTGTGGAAAACGGTCCAAACCATCAACAAGAAACAATGCCTAAATTCAAAACCAAGGAGCACCCCTAAACCAACAACTAATTAAGTAAGAAGATCCTTGCCTTCTTTTTTTTTTTAGGTTATGTAAAATAAGAATCTGACCTGTAAGGCATCGAACTCCTGGTTTAGCTTGAAAGGGGTTTGTATCTTCTTCTTGAGCAAGGCGAGGCCTTCGGAGCAATGGCGAAGCTGATCAGGCAAGAGAGTGAGGGAGGGGGGGTCGGCATATGCCATGAACAGTGGGGAATCAGGTCCCAGAGGAGGAGGTGGAGGCGCAAGGGCTGGCCGTTTCTTATTATGAACAGAAGTCGCCATGCACGACCTGCGAGAACCTGTCGAGTTACCCGTCCTTGTGGAGAGAGAAAGGACCAAAGAACTAGGGCAACCTGAAAGGAGAGCAAAGAGTGAGGTGGTTATTAGAGAGAGAAGAATCCGGGAGGTGGATTTTAGAGAGAGAAAGAGTTTTTAGAGAGACAGAGGAGCGACGCTCCGGTAAAATGGGAGAGCTTACCGCGCAGAAGCAGGCGACAGTGACCTTCACGCGCCCACAGAGATGAGAAGTTTTCCTACTATGCTCTATGTGACCTTTGGGAGATAATGATCATAAATGTCATTTACAGTCCAAAATATGGATGACGGCGATGACTGAGAGTGACCCTCCAACTGGGAACCTGTAACGGCCGGTGACTGAATCACCTCTCTCCATCACCGTTGAATCTACGATTGCACTTTGAAATTAAAAGCTGCTTGCCCACCAGCGATCGCATGGATGATATTACTATCTTATTTAGCCGTTTTTCCGAAAATTTTATATGATAAAATCTGGTTGGTTTATCATAAATGAGGATTTAATTATCTTTAGGGTGGTGTGATTTCTTTAAGGTTGCAACCTTGAACAAACCAATTAAGGAGCACCTTCAAATTTTATCATAACATATAATTTTGGTGTAAAAAATTATTAGGATTATCTGAAAATCTATTTTCATATCTAATTATAAAATTTTAAGCTAAAAAAATGTTCAAAATCAAGTAGATCTATAAACATATGAAAATCTTGAAAATGGACGGTCTAGATAATGTATTGTAAGATGCATTATTTTCGAGACTCAAAATCTTTTTTTTTTTTGTAATATTCACACAGATATGTCGAGATGACCAACGTTAAAACAACATACTCCGATGGATTTTTGAGGTGCATCCGTATTTCTACATTTTAAAGTCGCAACCTTATGTAAACTTTTTCCATATCTTTATGCCAGACCTTGTAGATAAAATCTTGGGTTTATCTTAAGGAAAAAGTTTATACAAAGTTGCAACCTTAAAATGTAGAATTACATATACACCTCAAAAATCCATTGCAAAGGTTGTTTTAATGTTAAAAACCCTCTAATTGATCATCTCGACATCGACATGTATAAATATGGAAAGAAAACGATTTGAAACTCATAAATAATGCATCTTGCAATATATTGTCTAGACTGTCCATTTTCAGGAGTTGCATATGTTTATTAGATCTACTTGATTTTAACAAATTTTGTAGTTAAAAATTTTATAATTTGATATGAAAATAGATTTTAAGATAATCTTAAGAATTTTTTACACCAAAATTATACGTTATGATAAGATTTGGAGGTGCGCCTTAATTGAATTGTTTAAGGTTGCAATCTTATATAAACCACATCCTTATCTTAATACTTAGTTTTGTTGATTCTAGCCTATATAAAACTTGGTTTTGAGCACAACGCTCTTTGGCAGGCTGCTTGAAGAACTCAGTATATATATAAATGCTGGTACTTTACCTTGTTTGGCACCATGAAGATGAAAACTGGGTTTTTTATTGTTTTATGTTAAAGTAATTTAGCCGTTGATTTTATAAGTTGATGATTCTGTAATTTAGCCATTAATACATAGCCAATTAACAATGACAGCCTTCATGGCCCTCTTCCAAACAGAACCCCAACTGTCACAACCCCACCCCCGACCCCCCTACCGTACATGACGGAGGGTGACCAAGTGTGGGTTCGTGATCCCAAAGTAGCGTTTGTTAATTAGGCCGGAGTGAACATAATGCCATTATTTCGGTAATCAAAGCAAACCATAGAAAGATAAATATACTAGTAATTCTAAATACATGGGCAATTTATTAATTTAAAGCTCCATACAGTAACAAAAGGGCTTTACATAACATTCTTTAAAAAATATTACATTTGAGTCTAGGGCATCAGGGCCCAAAATTTACAAGTTCATGCAATAAACAAAATCCAGGGCTAGACTTCCCAACCACATACAAGATCTAGATCCTGCTACCGATAAGTCTGGCTTCAATTTCCTTCAAGAGTCCCCGCCGGTCCAACTCTTGACCTGTTGTTATCAGTCTACAAGGAAGGAAGGGAGAAATGGGTTAAGTTATACAATCTAGTAAGTAGGTTTAAACGCTATGCATCAATAATGAGCCTACTCATGAATCATAAACAATTTATTTAACTATACGGAATTTCAGTGCAGCAGTCATGAAAATAAGCGATCAGGTCAATGCATCAATTATACGCATTTTATCCATATAGCAGTTATCATTCAATCGATTCAATCATCGATATTCACAATTACTATTCAATCATTACTCACTCACCCTCTAGTTCACATACTCCCGCAATAGAGGCCCTATCCATCAGGTTAAGCCAATCCCATTACTTAAGGCCTCTACCACTCCCAGGAGGGAGGGCAATGACAAGTGGGAAAATCCACTTCGTAATGCCCTTATACTCACACACACGGTCCCCCAGTACGTATTGGAGATTCAATAGGCACTTACTTTGCAATGCGTCAGTCACTAGTCTCATCTTAGTAAATCTGGGGGGGTGTGACCCTCGCATTTCACTTTTCCCCTTAACTGCATCCTATCATTCAGCAAGTTAGGGGGTATAGCCGGCATCACTTTCCTCAGTATAGCAGTCCTCACTACCGATGGATGCCCCATCCCGTAGCGAGCAGTATCAGTAAAACATTGGCTGTTATCACAGTATTATCATATAGCAGTGTCCACTACCAATGGGCGTCCCATTGCGTAGTGGTCATCATTGTGGCTTCATATCGTGCTCAAGCATTTAATCTCTTTCGTGCTAAATCAGTGCATTATAACAGATGAATCAAATTTCATCATGCAAGAACGGAGTCTTATGCAGAATCATCCAGCATTCACAAAACATTATAGAAGTTATCATGAAACATCCATTGCATGAGCTGTCACATAGCATTTACGCTTAGAAGTCATCGGTAGCAATTCGACACTTATCATGTAGCATTCATCATAGAGAAATCACATTAGCTTTGCACTTATCCATTCATCACATAACACACAGTTGCGTAACACCATCCATATAACACTACAGCATTCGCAAGAAAAACCTCACATAATGCTCGCATTTATCAGTTATTAAAGCTGTTACATAGCTACTTGAATAGGTTAATGAGTAATCCCGAGAAAGGTGGCAGAAAACGAGCATAACACAAAATTTGTGAGGTGAAACAGTGACATCCCCCTCTTATTGGGGTGTAATTCCCCAATCTAGGGAGAATTTCGAAACACTTTAAACATGCAACTTCAAGTTCATGCCCGGGGCTTTAAAAGGACGGTGATTTGAATGAATTTGAACGACTTCTAATAGGTCAAAAGCTCGGTTCAAAGCGATTGAAAGTTTATGTGAATTTCTTGCAACAGTGGGTAGTGACGTACCCACACATTTCGGGGCTTAGCTCTCAATTTACGGGAAATCTCAAAATCATCAAAGCATGTAACTTTAGGTTTATCCACTGATCTTCCAAATGGTGGCATTTTGAAGACGTTTGGACACTGTTTGATAGGCCAAAAGTACGGCACAAAAAGAGTCACAGTTGCTGGAATTTACCGCAGCTGTGGGCAGTGACATGACTCAATATTTTGGAGTATAGCCTTTGATCCTTACAAAATTTTAATGTAGTATAAAAAATAAACTTAAAATAGACACATATCTTTCATTCAAGATCGATTTGGACCCATTTGGGTGCCGTTTGATCATTGAAAAGTCCAAGGAAAGGGCAAAGACCCTCACAATTGTTGGAAAATCCCACTATCCCACGTTTTAACATGCTATCCAAATGATACACACCATCTCACAAGCCAAAAAATATATACATAAAAAAATAAAACCCATCACATGCCTTATTCATGTCGGGCAAACTAAGCATGCTTTACAAGGAAACTACTTTATAAAATTATGAAGTTCATTATTTAATGCTCAATCACTCATTCAAGCCCTTTTTATTCATTTATTCTCAAACACTTAATTCTATCATCTTGCTCTTCGTAGCAACTTAAATTTAGGTCCTATGAAGTGAAATGATGCACAACACTAAACCCACTTGCCTGGTGTTCATAGTGTCTTCAATCTCCCATTCACAGGCCACCCCAAGCTCTAAGCAATGGCTTCTCCAAGGCAGCAGTTAACTTCCACTGGTTCTAGAGAGAGAAAATGTAAGGGAAAAGTGAGGGGAACGGTGGAAAAGGGGAGGGGAGAGGGCTTAAGTACTTAGGGTAGGTAAAGGTCACAGTAGCTGACGTGTACGGCTCTGACAAGTGCGGCGCTGGCAGCGGTCACATCTTCCCTCTTCACCTTCGAAGTTAGCTCTTCTAAGCCTTCACACGCAGTGATACCCCAGTTCTCCCGCGGTGATGCTCCAAAGGACGCTACACTCGCGGCGATGCCTTTTGCACACGGCGTTGCTCTTCCTTGTCTCTCTTCACAGCCGACGTTAGGCCTCTTCTACAGACGGCGATGCTCATCCCTATCTTCACGTGCGGCGCTGACTTTTCACATGCGGTGCTTATTCTCTCTCTTTATCTCTCTCTCTCTCTCTCTCTCTCTCTTCTTCATTTCCCAGTCGGCGCTGGGTCACAGATGGCGCTAGGCCTCTGTTTCACCCTTCATCGCCATGCGCATTTCTGGACTGGGAGAAAATTGTGATCCTTACATCATCCCCCCCCTTAGAAAGGATTTCGTCCTCAAAATCATATCATTTTCAATTAAAAAGGTGGGGGTGCTTCTCCCTGATCTCCTCCTCCCGTTCCCACATTAATTCTTCTCTTGAATGGTATTGCCATGATACTCTGACCAGGGGGATTTCTTTATTGCGCAAAACCTGTACTCTCTTGTCTAATATCCCAATTGGTCGTTCAACATAGGTCAAGTCTTCCTTGATGGGGATTGGTTCGTACTCCAAAACTTGGGACAGGTCAGGCTGATATTTGTTTAGCAACGATGTATGAAAAACATTGTGAATGTTGGCCAATTTAGGTGGCACGGCAAGCCGGTATGCCATGTTCCCAACTCTTTCAAGGATTTCAAAAGGTCAAATATACTACGGGCTGAACTTTCCTTTTTTGCCAAATCTTGTAATGCCCTTGGTTGGCGAAACCTTCAGGAAGACTCGATCACCCACTTCAAATTCGAGGTCTCTCTTGCGATTATCAGTATAACTCTTTTGCCGACTTTGGGCTGTCTTGAGCCGCTCTCGAATTAAGGAAATCTTCTCAGAAGTCATTTGAACGATTTTGGGCCTTAATAGTCTTCTTTCGCCCACCTCATC